AGCTACCGTCAGATTATGTGAAGTGTGTCCTAAGTTTGTGTCAGATTATGTGAAGTGTGTCCTAGGTTTGTGTCAGATTATGTGAAGTGTGTCCTAAGTTTGTGTCAGATTATGTGAAGTGTGTCCTAAGTTTGTGTCAAATTATGTGAAGTGTGTCCTAAGTTTGTGTCAGATTATGTGAAGTGTGTCCTAAGTTTGTGTCAGATTATGTGAAGTGTGTCCTAAGTTTGTGTTAGATTATGTGTCGTGTGTCTTATGCTATTCTAGTTTCTGATACTGACGAGTGTGTCACAAGCTACTGTAAGATTTTCTTATCGTCTGCTAGTTTTACAAGGCTAATATTTTTTAATGCAATACTTTATAACAATGAAATACTTTTATAAATTATGATGATTACGTTTTTCTAATAAGCTAATGATTTTATTCTGATATATGTTTGATAAAATTGATTACGTCAAATTATGTAAAGTGTGTCCAAGCTAGCCTCAGATTATGTCAAGTGTGTCCTAAGTTTGTGTCAGATTATGTAAAGTGTGTCCTAAGTTTGCGTCAGATTATGTGAAGTGTGTGCTAGGTTTGTTTTAGATTATGTGAAGTGTGTCCTAAGTTTGTGTCAGATTATGTGAAGTGTGTCCTAGCTACCGTCAGATTATGTGAAGTGTGTCCTAAGTTTGTGTCAGATTATGTGAAGTGTGTCCTCAGTTTGTGTCAGATTATGTGAAGTGTGTCCTAAGTTTGTGTCAGATTATGTGAAGTGTGTCCTAGCTACCGTCAGATTATGTGAAGTGTGTCCTAAGTTTGTGTCAGATTATGTGAAGTGTGTCCTCAGTTTGTGTCAGATTATGTGAAGTGTGTCCTAAGTTTGTGTCAGATTATGTGAAGTGTGTCCTCAGTTTGTGTCAGATTATGTGTAGTGTGTCCTAAGTTTGTGTCAGATTATGTGAAGTGTGTCCTAAGTTTGTGTCAGATTATGTGAAGTGTGTCCTAAGTTTGTGTCAGATTATGTGAAGTGTGTCCTAGCTACCGTCAGATTATGTGAAGTGTGTCCTAGCTACCGTCAGATTATGTGAAGTGTGTCCTAAGTTTGTGTCAAATTATGTGAAGTGTGTCCTAAGTTTGTGTCAGATTATGTGAAGTGTGTCCTAAGTTTGTGTCAGATTATGTGAAGTGTGTCCTAAGTTTGTGTCAGATTATGTGAAGTGTGTCCTAAGTTTGTGTCAGATTATGTGAAGCGTGTCCTCAGTTTGTGTCAGATTATGTGAAGTGTGTCCTAAGTTTGTGTCAGATTATGTGAAGTGTGTCCTCAGTTTGTGTCAGATTATGTGAAGTGTGTCCTAAGTTTGTGTCAGATTATGTGAAGCGTGTCCTCAGTTTGTGTCAGATTATGTGAAGTGTGTCTTAAGTTTGTGTCAGATTATGTGAAGTGTGTCCTCAGTTTGTGTCAGATTATGTGAAGTGTGTCCTAGGTTTGTGTTAGATTATGTGAAGTGTGTCCTAGGTTTGTTTTAGATTATGTGAAGTGTGTCCTAGCTACCGTCAGATTATGTGAAGTGTGTCCTAAGTTTGTGTCAGATTATGTGAAGTGTGTCCTAAGTTTGTGTCAGATTATGTGAAGTGTGTCCTAAGTTTGTGTCAGATTATGTGAAGTGTGTCCTAGGTTTGTGTTAGATTATGTGAAGTGTGTCCTAGCTACCGTCAGATTATGTGAAGTGTGTCCTAAGTTTGTGTCAGATTATGTGAAGTGTGTCCTAAGTTTGTTTCAGATTATGTGAAGTGTGTCCTAAGTTTGTGTCAAATTATGTGAAGTGTGTCCTAAGTTTGTGTCAGATTATGTGAAGTGTGTCCTAAGTTTGTGTCAGATTATGTGAAGTGTGTCCTAAGTTTGTGTCAGATTATGTGAAGCGTGTCCTCAGTTTGTGTCAGATTATGTGAAGTGTGTCCTAAGTTTGTGTCAGATTATGTGAAGTGTGTCCTTAGTTTGTGTCAGATTATGTGAAGTGTGTCCTAAGTTTGTGTCAGATTATGTGAAGCGTGTCCTCAGTTTGTGTCAGATTATGTGAAGTGTGTTTTAAGTTTGTGTCAGATTATGTGAAGTGTGTCCTCAGTTTGTGTCAGATTATGTGAAGTGTGTCCTAGGTTTGTGTTAGATTATGTGAAGTGTGTCCTAGGTTTGTTTTAGATTATGTGAAGTGTGTCCTAGCTACCGTCAGATTATGTGAAGTGTGTCCTAAGTTTGTGTCAGATTATGTGAAGTGTGTCCTAAGTTTGTGTCAGATTATGTGAAGTGTGTCCTAGGTTTGTGTTAGATTATGTGAAGTGTGTCCTAGCTACCGTCAGATTATGTGAAGTGTGTCCTAAGTTTGTGTCAGATTATGTGAAGTGTGTCCTAAGTTTGTGTCAGATTATGTGAAGTGTGTCCTAAGTTTGTGTCAAATTATGTGAAGTGTGTCCGAAGTTTGTGTCAGATTATGTGAAGTGTGTCTTAAGTTTGTGTCATATTATGTGAAGTGTGTCCTAAGTTTGTGTCATATTTTGTGAAGTGTGTCCTAAGTTTGTGTCAGATTATGTGAAGTGTGTCCTAGCTACCGTCAGATTATGTGAAGTGTGTCCTAAGTTTGTGTCAGATTATGTGAAGTGTGTCCTAGGTTTGTGTCAGATTATGTGAAGTGTGTCCTAAGTTTGTGTCAGATTATGTGAAGTGTGTCCTAAGTTTGTGTCAAATTATGTGAAGTGTGTCCTAAGTTTGTGTCAGATTATGTGAAGTGTGTCCTAAGTTTGTGTTAAATTATGTGAAGTGTGTCCTAAGTTTGTGTCAGATTATGTGAAGTGTGTCCTAAGTTTGTGTCAGATTATGTGAAGTGTGTCCTAAGTTTGTGTCAGATTATGTGAAGTGTGTCCTAAGTTTGTGTCAGATTATGTGAAGTGTGTCCTAAGTTTGTGTCAGATTATGTGAAGTGTGTCCTAAGTTTGTGTCAGATTATGTGAAGTGTGTCCTAAGTTTGTGTCAGATTATGTGAAGTGTGTCCTAAGTTTGTGTCAGATTATGTGAAGTGTGTCCTAATTTTGTGTAAGATTATGTGAAGTGTGTCCTAAGTTTGTGTCAAATTATGTGAAGTGTGTCTAGGTTTGTGTTAGATTATGTGTCGTGTGTCTTATGCTTTTCTAGTTTCTGATACTGACGAGTGTGTCACAAGCTACTGTAAGATTTTCTTATCGTCTGCTAGTTTTACAAGGCTGATATTTTTTAATGCAATACTTTATAACAATGAAATACTTTTATAAATTATGATGATTACGTTTTTCTAATAAGCTAATGATTTTATTCTGATATATGTTTGATAAAATTGATATTTGTACAATGATGATTTACTTACTCCTATGTAGCTCATATTCTATTGTGTTGATATATATATATATATATATATATATATATATATATATATATATATATATATATATATAAAGTGGTTATTATAATGTTTTTATAAAGTTAATATTGATATTAAGACTTTAATGTCGATAGTTTTCAAAATGTTTACAGTTTTGAGATATAATATTTCTATTTTAATATTAGAGATTAATTTTTTATAAAGTTGATGCTTTATCATAATGTTCTAATCTATAGCATTGAGGTTTTTTTATAAGGGTACTATATTTTTAGAATTTTGATATTTTAAAATTTTGATATTTTAAAATTTTTAAATTTTTATAATCTTATACTTCTTGAATATAAATTTATTTAAAAAAAAGCGAAAACAAAAGGAAAAACGTCAAACTTGTATATAATTAGGCACTAAAAGAAGAAAAGAAATCAATTTCTTTAAATATATGATAATGTAACACCATTAAAATAACTAAACAGAACTAGGTGGGTTGATAATGTTACTAACACATAATACTTCGACACACGTTTTCTTTATAGTCAGTGAAATAGTGGCCTTGTTACATATATAGGGAAAACCTTTTATCTATTGATTGTATTATTACATAATTTGTTAAATGAACGATGACAAAGTGTATGTAATAAGAAATATTAATCAATTAAAAATAAAAGTAATTAAACAATTAAGACAAATTTAATGTTACATTGTATTGCTATCGGGTTTTGACCTACATGTCAAGTGAAAAGAAATCGGTCCAGAAGTTTAGACCCACGACCCACAAGTCTGCTAGCAAGTTTAGACCCACGACCCAGAAGTTTAGACCCACGACACCATTTTACACTGACACCATTTTATACTGACACCATTTTACGCTGACACCATTTTACACTGACACCATTTTACACCGACACCATCTTACACTGACACCATTTTACACCGACACCATCTTACACTGACACCATTTTACACTGACACCATTTTACACTGACACCAATCTTACTCGCTGACGTTAGCTACTAGAATAAAGAGAATACCAACAGGTGTATTACAGGTAATGTAAGACCAACAGGTGTATTACAGGTAATGTACCTTTCGTTTTCTGGCCAAATCTCAAACGGTCAAATAAAATTTGACCCTCGGTTTTTGCCGATGACGAGGTAGCGACTGGGTAGAAAAACTAAGCGAAACTTGAATGGGTACACGATATGACGCGCAGTTTGATTAATAAAACACATTCTGAAAGGGATATTTTGTTGTTCATTATCTTGTAAACCACAAACATAGCACCAACACTTTCCAGGGCCGGGCGTAGCTAGGGGAGGGCGGGTGGGGCGGCCGCCTCGGGCACCGAAAAGAGGGTGCCAAACGGGGGTAGAGAAATTAATTTGAAAGCTCATTTTAAGCTGAAGTATTGAATTATACACAGAAAATGTGTTATTTACTTCCCTTCCGCCACTCCATCCTGTATGTAGACATTAGCTGTGAATCTGTGTCTAGCTGAAGACTTTAGCTTATCAGCTGTAGAATCTGTATCAATGACCCCCCCCCCCCCCACCCCCGGCTTTAACTAGTGCTCTCGCAAGATTCCGTAAAATAAAATTAAAAAGCACAACAAACCTTTTACATTGACTGGTAATTAGATAACGTTACTCCCGGCACTGTAATCCTTACATTCGCAGGTGTAATCCTTACATCAGCAGATGTAATCCTTACATTTGTAGGTTAGCAGTAGTTTTTACATTAGCAGGTGTAATCCTTACAAAACTAGGAATAATCCGTTACTTCCCACGTGTAAGCCTTACATGAGCACGGGTAATGCCATCGTGAGTATTCCTTACATGTTGTGCAACATACGCACCTTGGTGTGCATGCACGCGCACTGACCAGTCGAAAAATGTGTCAGGTGAGCACGAGGCTGGTCAGGTGAGCAAGCAGTCCAATTAGTTTTGGGATAGATTCGATCTAGGACGGACAACTCGGATCTAGGACGGACAACTCTAGCGTCAACTGGAGCATCAAACAAGCCAGTTGGGCAGCATTCGCCGGAACTCGGGTGTAGTCTCTTGACTTGGTGGAGCCGCACGGTGGTGGAGCTGACAGCCCTCCCAGTCTCTGGCCCTGATTGGTCGCGGGGATGACAGGCGCGCGGCCTGACGTTGACTGGGAGGATGGGAGGAGGGGCGTGGCCGAGTGTTTGACAGTTTGACCCGGATGTGATCCTACAGCCCATTGAACAACATTGGTGCCGTACATCTATGACGGGAGGATGGGGAGGGGGGACACAAGGAGGCGGTGGGGAGGGGGACATAAGGAGGAGGTGGGGAGGTGACAACCTCTGCGTCAATATTACATGTCTAACAGATGCAGAAACTCTATGTGTCTACCTAACAACAACCTCAACAACAACCTCAGCATACGCAGTAGCTAACTTAAAGCCAAACTAGTTCAGATCGAGGGGTTTCATTCAGGCGATTGAGATCAGTGAGAGGAAGAATGGCCAAAACAACGTGGCCCACACAATCACATGAACCACACAACCACTTGCCCCACACAACCACAACATGACCCACACAACATGACCCACACACCCAGTAATGCGATGTTTGAGGAAAGATGGGGGTGGGGCAGGCACAATGTAGAGCTTACTTCATGATGGGGGTGGGGCAGGGGTATGTAGAGCTTACTTCATGATGGGGGTGGGGCAGGCACAATGTAGAGCTTACTTCATGATGGGAGTGGGGCAGGGGTATGTAGACCTTACTTCATGATGGGGGTGGGGCAGGGGTATGTAGAGCTTACTTCATGATGGGGGTGGGGCAGGCACAATGTAGAGCTTACTTCATGATGGGAGTGGGGCAGGGGTATGTAGACCTTACTTCATGATGGGGGTGGGGCAGGGGTATGTAGAGCTTACTTCATGATGGGGGTGGGGCAGGCACAATGTAGAGCTTACTTCATGATGGGAGTGGGGCAGGGGTATGTAGAGCTTACTTCATGATGGGGGTGGGACAGGGGTATGTAGAGCTTACTTCATGATGGGGGTGGGGCAGGCACTATGTAGAGCTTACTTCATGATGGGAGTGGGGCAGGGGTATGTAGACCTTACTTCATGATGGGGGTGGGGCAGGGGTATGTAGAGCTTACTTCATGATGGGGGTGGGGCAGGCACAATGTAGAGCTTACTTCATGATGGGAGTGGGGCAGGGGTATGTAGAGCTTACTTCATGATGGGGGTGGGGCAGGGGTATGTAGAGCTTACTTCATGATGGGGGTGGGGCAGGCACAATGTAGAGCTTACTTCATGATGGGAGTGGGGCAGGGGTATGTAGAGCTTACTTCATGATGGGGGTGGGGCAGGGGTATGTAGAGCTTACTTCATGATGGGGGTGGGGCAGGCACAATGTAGAGCTTACTTCATGATGGGAGTGGGGCAGGGGTATGTAGAGCTTACTTCATGATGGGGGTGGGGCAGGGGTATGTAGAGCTTACTTCATGATGGGGGTGGGGCAGGCACAATGTAGAGCTTACTTCATGATGGGAGTGGGGCAGGGGTATGTAGACCTTACTTCATGATGGGGGTGGGGCAGGGGTATGTAGAGCTTACTTCATGATGGGGGTGGGGCAGGCACAATGTAGAGCTTACTTCATGATGGGAGTGGGGCAGGGGTATGTAGAGCTTACTTCATGATGGGGGTGGGGCAGGGGTATGTAGAGCTTACTTCATGATGGGGGTGGGGCAGGCACAATGTAGAGCTTACTTCATGATGGGAGTGGGGCAGGGGTATGTAGAGCTTACTTCATGATGGGGGTGGGGCAGGGGTATGTAGAGCTTACTTCATGATGGGGGTGGGGCAGGCACAATGTAGAGCTTACTTCATGATGGGAGTGGGGCAGGGGTATGTAGACCTTACTTCATGATGGGGGTGGGGCAGGGGTATGTAGAGCTTACTTCATGATGGGGGTGGGGCAGGCACAATGTAGAGCTTACTTCATGATGGGAGTGGGGCAGGGGTATGTAGAGCTTACTTCATGATGGGGGTGGGGCAGGGGTATGTAGAGCTTACTTCATGATGGGGGTGGGGCAGGCACAATGTAGAGCTTACTTCACGATGGGGGTGGGGCAGGGGTATGTAGAGCTTACTTCATGATGGGGGTGGGGCAGGGGTATGTAGAGCTTACTTCACGATGGGGGTGGGGCAGGGGTATGTAGAGCTTACTTCATGATGGGGGTGGGGCAGGGGTATGTAGGGCTTACTTCACGATGGGGGTGGGGCAAGCACAATGTAGAGCTTACTTCATGATGGGGGTGGGGCAGGGGTATGTAGAGCTTACTTCATGATGGGGGTGGGGCAAGCACAATGTAGAGCTTACTTCATGATGGGGGTGGGGCAGGGGTATGTAGAGCTTACTTCACGATGGGGGTGGAAGAGGCACAACTAAGACCTAAGTACAAGTCAGTGTGTAACCTGATATAACATGTTTTAATTAAGTAAAGATGATTAATTGGACGTGTTCACTCGACCAACAATAACCTAGGTCTCGCCTGATTGACGTCATGTTCTGATTGAATCTTACGTTTATTTAATCTCCGGTCTAATAAAGTTTGTAACACCCTAAAAACGTTTTAGCAAGTTGGAAAATCGCATGGGGTGGGCGACACCTAACCGAAAAAAATGTTAGAATAACGCATCATGTCCCACCCGCCCTAGTGAGGCCGCTGTCTGTGTGTGGTGTCTGTGTGTGGTGTCTGTCTGTTTGTGTGTGGTGTCTGTCTGTGTGTGGTGTCTGTCTGTGTGTGGTGTCTGTCTGTGTGTGGTGTCTGTGTGTGGTGTCTGTCTGTGTGTGGTGTCTGTCTGTGTGTGGTGTCTGTCTGTGTGTGGTGTCTGTCTGTGTGTGGTGTCTGTCTGTGTGTGGTGTCTGTCTGTGTGTGGTGTCTGTCTGTGTGTGGTGTCTGTCTGTGTGTGGTGTCTGTCTGTGTGTGGTGTCTGTCTGTGTGTGGTGTCTGTCTGTGTGTGGTGTCTGTCTTTGTGTGGTGTCCGTGTGTGTTGTCTGTGTGTGGTGTCTATTGTGGTGTCTGTGTGTGTGGTGTCTGTCTGTGTGTGGTGTCTGGGTGTGTGTGGTGTCTGTCTGTGTGTGGTGTCTGGGTGTGTGTGGTGTCTGTCTGTGTGTGGTGTCTGTCTGGGTGTGTGTGGTGTCTGTCTGGGTGTGTGTGGTGTCTGGGTGTGTGTGGTGTCTGTCTGTGTGTGGTGTCTGGGTGTGTGTGGTGTATGTGTGTGGTGTCTGTCTGTGTGTGGTGTCTGTCTGTGTGTGGTGTCTGTCTGTGTGTGGTGTCTGTCTGTGTGTGGTGTCTGTCTGTGTGTGATGTCTGTGTGTGGTGTCTATTGTGGTGTCTGTGTGTGGTGTCTGGGTGTGTGTGGTGTCTGTCTGGGTGTGTGTGGTGTCTGTCTGTGTGTGGTGTCTGTCTGTGTGTGGTGTCTGAGTGTGTGTGGTGTCTGTCTGTGTGTGGTGTCTGTCTGTGTGTGGTGTCTGTGTGTGGTGTATGTCTGTGTGTGGTGTCTGTCTGTGTGTGGTGTCTGTGTGTGGTGTCTGTCTGTGTGTGGTGTCTGTGTGTGGTGTCTGTCTGTGTGTGGTGTCTGTCTGTGTGTGGTGTCTGTCTGTGTGTGGTGTCTGTCTGTCTGTGTGTGGTGTCTGTCTGTCTGTGTGTGGTGTCTGTGTGTGGTGTCTGTCTGTGTGTGGTGTCTGTCTGTGTGTGGTGTCTGTCTGTGTGTGGTGTCTGTCTGTGTGTGGTGTCTGTCTGTGTGTGGTGTCTGTGTGTGGTGTCTGTCTGTGTGTGGTGTCTGTCTGTCTGTGGTGTCTGTGTGTGGTGTCTGTGTGTGTGTGGTGTCTATCTGTCTGTGTGTGGTGTCTGTGTGTGGTGTCTGTGTGTGGTGTCTGTCTGTGTGTGGTGTCTGTCTGTGTGTGGTGTCTGTCTGTGTGTGGTGTCTGTGTGTGGTGTCTGTGTGTGGTGTATGTCTGTGTGTGGTGTCTGTCTGTGTGTGGTGTCTGTCTGTGTGTGGTGTCTATCTGTGTGTGGTGTCTGTGTGTGGTGTCTGTGTGTGGTGTCTGTCTGTGTGTGTGTGGTGTCTGTGTGTGGTGTCTGTCTGTGTGTGGTGTCTGTGTGTGGTGTCTGTGTGTGGTGTCTGTCTGTGTGTGGTGTCTGTCTGTGTGTGGTGTCTGGGTCGCATGCCTGATGTCGCTGGTCAAGGGATGGTAGAATATAGACCTACCTGTCTTGTATTTAACACCTGCTTGTCTTGGTTGACCGCACGTGTCCAGTTGTATTGGTCAGCCATCTTTGCACTCCCCTCCCCACCCCCGAGGTCGTCCTGAGAGAAATAGAAATGGTATATAATTTATGCAGAAAAAATATAGGCATACTATTATATTACCAGTGTAACCCCTCACCCTCCTTCCTGAGATTTTCAAGAACTCCGTGGGAGGAAAATGTCTGAAAGAAGAAGTCCTGATGATGAAGACAAAAATTTTTTAGAGTCCATCATGAATAATAATTTAACACTTTTTTAATAATTTAAGCGAAGATATTTTATTGAACACTAAATAATTTTTTTTTAAAGTTTTTATCGAAATATGAAATCTCCCCCCCCCCCCCCCCCCCCACCAGCTGTAGGATGTTGCCGTCATATTCACGCATGCGCGAACGAATATCTGGAGCCTGAGGGCGTCTATCAGGATGTTGTGGCTTGTATTTGACGGTACAGGTTTAGTCTCTCTTAATTGGCCGCTTATAGACCGTGACCAAGTCACGTGACTCGCACGTCCGCTAGCAGCAACAGTTTGGCTGCTCAGGTTTGGTCGGAGCGAGATCGAATCCAGTAGTTGTTAGAGATTGTTACTTTTATAATAGCCGAGCGGGTGTGGCAATGTTGGGTACCAGACAGTACCGTACGCAAGGGGGGGGGGGGTCGTCCCACTCCCAAGGGGGCGTCTTCGTAACCCCCTCCAAAAAATGTGTTGGATTACAACTGCTCGTCCACCTCGGTGTACATTTTTATAAAAAAATTTTTTTTTACTTTTACATTCATTTATGGACAATATGGAATTTATAACATAACATATCCATATACATAATGAATACTTGGCGCATATTATATAAAGCCATAGACCAAGATGCAATGGATGCCTACATTTTTTAATTTTAATTTAGGCCTCGTCTATATTAAAACCTATAACCTACATAGATATACAGACATGTATAGACTTCAGCCTATCAGTATTTTAGATTTAATCTGTGGGGGGGGGGGGGGGGGGGGGTGGAACTTCTTAAAAACATGCTTTTAAAAATGTGAAAATAAAAAATGTCAAATTTTAGTCTTCGCTCCCTTAACCCCTAATTAACCCCATATGGCATTCTATAATAGCTAGCAGCTGGTGGTAAACCCTAGCAGTACACCAGTGATATAGGCTAAGTGGACAGTACACCCAGGCTATAGGCTAAGTGGACAGTACACCCAGGCTATAGGCTAAGTGTACGGTACACCCAGGCTATAGGCTAAGTGGACAGTACACCCAGGCTATAGGCTAAGTGGACAGTACACCCAGGCTATAGGCTAAGTGGACAGTACATCCAGGCTATAGGCTAAGTGGACAGTACACCCAGGCTATAGGCTAAGTGGACAGTACACCCAGGCTATAGGCTAAGTGGACAGTACACCCAGGCTATAGGCTAAGTGTACAGTACACCCAGGCTATAGGCTAAGTGTATAGTACACCCAGGCTATAGGCTAAGTGGACAGTACACCCAGGCTATAGGCTAAGTGAACAGTACACCCAGGCTATAGGCTAAGTGGACAGTACACCCAGGCTATAGGCTAAGTGAACAGTACACCCAGGCTAAGTGGACAGTACACCCAGGCTATAGGCTAAGTGGACAGTACACCCAGGCTAGAGTCATAGTGGACAGTACACCCAGGCTAAGTGGACAGTACACCCAGGCTACAAGCTAAGTGGACAGTACACCCAGGCTACTGGCTAAGTGGACAGTACACCCAGGCTAAGTGAACAGTACACCCATGCTACAGGCTAAGTGGACAGTACACCCAGGCTAAGTGGACAGTACACCCAGGCTAAGTGAACAGTACACCCATGCTACAGGCTAAGTGGACAGTACACCCAGGCTAAGTGGACAGTACACCCAGGCTAAGTGGACAGTACACCCAGGCTACAGGCTAAGTGGACAGTACACCCAGGCTACAGGCTAAGTGAACAGTACACCCAGACTACAGGCTAAGTGGACAGTACACCCAGGCTACAGGCTAAGTGGACAGTACACCCAGGCTAAGTGGACAGTACACCCAGGCTAAGTGGACAGTACACCCAGGCTAAGTGGACAGTACACCCAGGCTAAGTGAACAGTACACCCAGGCTACAGGCTAAGTGGACAGTACACCCAGGCTAAGTGGACAGTACACCCAGGCTAAGTGGACAGTACACCCAGGCTAAGTGAACAGTACACCCAGGCTACAGGCTAAGTGGACAGTACACCCAGGCTAAGTGGACAGTACACCCAGGCTAAGTGAACAGTACACCCAGGCTACAGGCTAAGTGGACAGTACACCCAGGCTAAGTGGACAGTACACCCAGGCTAAGTGGACAGTACACCCAGGCTAAGTGGACAGTACACCCAGGCTAAGTGGACAGTACACCCAGGCTATAGGCTAAGTGGACAGTACACCCAGGCTACAGGCTAAGTGGACAGTACACCCAGGCTAAGTGGACAGTACACCCAGGCTAAGTGGACAGTACACCCTGGCTACAGGCTAAGTGGACAGTACACCCAGGCTAAGTGGACAGTACACCCAGGCTATAGGCTAAGTGGACAGTACACCCAGGCTAAGTAGACAGTACACCCAGGCTAAGTGGACAGTACACCCAAGCTACAGGCTAAGTGGACAGTACACCCAGGCTACAGGCTAAGTGGACAGTACACCCAGGCTAAGTGGACAGTACACCCATGCTACAGGCTAAGTGGACAGTACACCCAGGCTACAGGCTAAGTGGACAGTACACCCAGGCTACAGGCTAAGTGGACAGTACACCCAGGCTAAGTGGACAGTACACCCAGGCTAAGTGGACAGTACACCCAGGCTATAGGCTAAGTGGACAGTACACCCAGGCTACAGGCTAAGTGGACAGTACACCCAGGCTAAGTGGACAGTACACCCAGGCTATAGGCTAAGTGGACAGTACACCCAGGCTAAGTAGACAGTACACCCAGGCTAAGTGGACAGTACACCCAGGCTATAGGCTAAGTGGACAGTACACCCTGGCTACAGGCTAAGTGGACAGTACACCCAGGCTAAGTGGACAGTACACCCAGGCTATAGGCTAAGTGGACAGTACACCCAGGCTAAGTGGACAGTACACCCAGGCTATAGGCTAAGTGGACAGTACACCCAGGCTAAGTGGACAGTACACCCAGGCTATAGGCTAAGTGGACAGTACACCCTGGCTACAGGCTAAGTGGACAGTACACCCAGGCTAAGTGGACAGTACACCCAGGCTATAGGCTAAGTGGACAGTACACCCAGGCTAAGTAGACAGTACACCCAGGCTAAGTGGACAGTACACCCAAGCTACAGGCTAAGTGGACAGTACACCCAGGCTAAGTGGACAGTACACCCAGGCTATAGGCTAAGTGGACAGTACACCCAGGCTAAGTGGACAGTACACCCAGGCTAAGTGGACAGTACACCCAAGCTACAGGCTAAGTGGACAGTACACCCAGGCTAAGTGGACAGTACACCCAAGCTACAGGCTAAGTGGACAGTACACCCAGGCTAAGTGGACAGTACACCCTGGCTACAGGCTAAGTGGACAGTACACCCAGGCTAAGTGGACAGTACACCCAGGCTATAGGCTAAGTGGACAGTACACCCAGGCTAAGTAGACAGTACACCCAGGCTAAGTGGACAGTACACCCAAGCTACAGGCTAAGTGGACAGTACACCCAGGCTACAGGCTAAGTGGACAGTACACCCAGGCTAAGTGGACAGTACACCCATGCTACAGGCTAAGTGGACAGTACACCCAGGCTACAGGCTAAGTGGACAGTACACCCAGGCTACAGGCTAAGTGGACAGTACACCCAGGCTAAGTGGACAGTACACCCAGGCTAAGTGGACAGTACACCCAGGCTATAGGCTAAGTGGACAGTACACCCAGGCTACAGGCTAAGTGGACAGTACACCCAGGCTAAGTGGACAGTACACCCAGGCTATAGGCTAAGTGGACAGTACACCCAGGCTAAGTAGACAGTACACCCAGGCTAAGTGGACAGTACACCCAAGCTACAGGCTAAGTGGACAGTACACCCAGGCTACAGGCTAAGTGAACAGTACACCCAGGCTAAGTGGACAGTACACCCAGGCTATAGGCTAAGTGGACAGTACACCCAGGCTAAGTGGACAGTACACCCAGGCTACAGGCTAAGTGGACAGTACACCCAGGCTAAGTGGACAGTACACCCAGGCTACAGGCTAAGGTGTACTGTCCACCCAGGCTATAGGCTAAGTGGACAGCCTATTCTGAGAATTTGTCAACCCTTCCAAACACCACAATTCAAACTCTACAAAGTACAGAAAACTGGGCCAGAAAAATGATGTAATTTAATCAACCAAATTGTAATGTATAAAGTGTTAGCTTTAAAGTAAATAGAAAGTGTTAGACTTGGTAAACAAAAGTTCTAAACAAATGTTTAGCTTACGACCAGGTACGCCTAATGTTTAGGCTACTTCAACCTCACTAAAGACGCAACAAGGCAAAAAATTTCCAACAAAAAAATTCCTGGAATTACCAGGAAAAACAAATTGACCAATTTGTCCATCGAAAATTGGCATTAAACTAAATAAACAAGGAAGGTTTTACATCAAAGTATAAGCAAAATTAGGTTTTACAAATTATAAGCAAAATTAGGTTTTACATCAAAGTATAAACAAAATTAGGTTTTACATCAAAGTATAAACAAAATTAGGTTTTACATCAAAGTAAAAGCAAAATTAGGTTTTACATTAGAGTACATTAGGTGGTGAAAAATGACTTAGCTTGGAATAAATTATTTCTGAATTAGCCTACTTTAAATTCTACATACCAGAATTTGGACTAGTAAAATTTTTAAAATAACTCCTAAAATTCTTAGCAAAATAATTTATAGATCTGTATAAAACTGTTGTATAGTTTTACGCTTACTAAAATTTAACAAATGAAAAAAAAAACATTAAAATACTTAAAAATACAAGAAAAAAAAAATTAAGATCCTACTTGAAGCCTAAAGGATAAGAAAACTTAAAACTTTCTGAACTAGTAGGTGTTTGGTACAGTGGTTCAGGTATCTAGGAAAATAAAAAAGTAAAAACTGTCATAAAATTCTGTACTGTCACTAAAAATTGTTATTTGACATCTCACCTAGGATGGTACTGACTGTATAATATAAAACTGGTGTCAGACTAAATGGTTTTAGTAATTTGATGCATGGGTAATTTAGCAGTAAAAATGTTAATTTTGAATCCTGTGCTCGTGTCCATATTTTTAAAATGTTTAAAAATTTAAAATTTAATTTTTGGATTTAGGACAGAGCAGAAAGTTTCAAGTCATTAAAATCATATGATAAACTTTGACTCACAATTCTCAGGTTTTTTAAAAATTGCTCTCTGTTTTGTTTAGTAATATATAACATGCAATTTTAAAAATTATTTTTTCTAATCTTTATTTTAAATAACTTTAGTTTTGGATCATTTCCAACTGTAAAAATTAATAAAATAAACAAGCCATAATTAAAGTTTAAAAAGTTCTTAAGACTTAAAATCGTGTTAGCTGTCAAGTTTATTTCAAACTAGAGTTGGTAGCTATTTGATTACGTAAAAATTATCTTCTAATGGATATTTTAAAATTTGTAATAAAAGACAAATGTCGGTTTACTGTGTGAGGTTCTGCTAAACAATTTGATAAATTGTAAAAATGAAAACGCCAACTAGTGACTTGAGGAAAATGTCTGCTAGTTACTGTAAACACTACAAGCTAATTACTGTAAACACTAACTTCAATGGGACAGGATCTAGACATGTCACTCGACATGTTAAAACAATCTGGTAAAAATGTATCTAAAACTAATTACCCAGTTGGTAAAATTATACAAAAAACTTATTAAAAAAGTTGAAAAATCATTTGGGGCACAAATTTAGTTTTAGTATTTATTTTTTGAGGTTATTTCAGCTTTGATAATAATTCGTTTAGATTATGATGCAGCAATTACAATACAATATCTTGTACAATTATGTAAGCCTACAATTAAACTGCAGCAATTTAGCATTCATGTTAAGCATTTAGCCCAACAAAAATTGTTGAAAGACTTGACATAAGGAATAAATAAACTGCTCTTGTAAGCAGGGCACAAATAGAGGTTGAAACAAATGTATAAGCAATCTTGTCGAAAACCCACAGTCAAAATAAATAAACAAGTAGTGTCCACAAGGGAACTGTCCACTTTACAAGGGAACCGTCCACTTTACAAGGGAACCGTCCACTTTACAAGGGAACCATGTCCACTTTACAAAGGAACCATGTCCACTTTACAAAGGAACCATGTCCACTTTACAAAGATACAATGTCCACTTTACAAAGGAACCATGTCCACTTTACAAAGGAACCATGTCCACTTTACAAAGGAACCATGTCCACTTTACAAAGGAACCATGTCCACTTTACAAAGGAACCATGTCCACTTTACAAAGGAACCATGTCCACTTTACAAAGGAACCATGTCCACTTTACAAGGGAACGGAGCTTTTTGTGTTCCGTGTCAGTGGCCGATGGTGTCTCATGGTGTCTGGGGCGTGTTGCCAGTACCAACAGGAGCGACACAGGTATTTATAGCACAGGAGATCTCTGCAGAAGTAGTTCCCCTGCTGGGCATTGCACAGGCTACAGATGGCGTCTCCCAGGTAAGGGTCCACCTGGATCTACAGAATTAAAGAGCTCAATTAGCATATTGTCATCAAAAGGTAGGCAAAGAGAATGTTGTGAAATTGAACAGCACAAATATAAAGACATTTTTAAACAAGCTAACCTTTTTTGTAAACTTCGGCGTTTTAATTTCTACAAAAGCTGCCTGAATGGCTTTCATGTAACTTTTACGTGCAGCAAACGTTACTCTTCCAGATCCTGGAGAAATTTATTGTAAACATTTGATTTCATCAAACTAGCTAGTGGAGAAATTTAGTGTAAACATTTGATTGCATCAAACTGGCTAGTGGAGATTTAAGGTACAAGGTAACCGCCTGAGCTGTCACGACTTTTTTTACTGTTGTCATGGTAATGGCGGTCAAAAACGATACCGGATTCCATATTTTAACAATGATTCATGGTCAGTTCAACATGCTTATAATAGTTATTTTTGCATATTAATCAACAAAATATTTTAACAATGGATGATTTGTGTTTAATGTAAATTTGCCTTTTGTAATTGTTTTAGGCCCTAATTACTTTTTTTAATACTATTTTGACAACTTATGAGAAATTGAAAATTATATATTGTGTCTTACAAAACTAATTTCATTAATTTAAAAAATTCATTAAAAGGATAACTTGATTGAGACAAAGCCCAACAAAGCCCTCTCATTTTATATGCCATATATTTGAATTGGAAGAACTCTAGCAGACATTTCTGCTGTTTTTTCAAAAATTTTCTAGACCACCAATTAATTTTGATACATATAATAATTTTGAAAGGCGGCAATGCCAAGATACTATAATCTTTGTAAAATATCTAGTAACTGGACATACCAATGGGATACTCGTGTAACTGGACAATGGGATACTCGTGTAACTGGACAATGGGATACTCGTGTAACTGGACAATGGGATACTCGTGTAACTGGACAATGGGATACTCGTGTAACTGGACAATGGGATACTCGTGTAACTGGACAATGGGATACTCGTGTAACTGGACAATGGGATACTCGTGTAACTGGACAATGGGATACTCGTGTAACTGGACAATGGGATACTCGTGTAACTGGACAATGGGATACTCGTGTAACTGGACAATGGGATACTCGTGTAACTGGACAATGGGATACTCGTGTAACTGGACAATGGGATACTCGTGTAACTGGACAATGGGATACTCGTGTAACTGGACAATGGGATACTCGTGTAACTGGACAATGGGATACTCGTGTAACTGGACAATGGGATACTCGTGTAACTGGACAATGGGATACTCGTGTAACTGAACAATGGGATACTCGTGTAACTGAACAATGGGATACTCGTGTAACTGGACAATGGGATACTCGTGTAACTGGACAATGGGATACTTGTGTAACTGGACATACCAATGGGATACTTGTGTAACTGGACATACCAATGGGATACTTGTGTAACTGGACATACCAATGGGATACTTGTGTAACTGGACATACCAATGGGATACTTGTGTAACTGGACATACCAATGGGATACTTGTGTAACTGGACATACCAATGGGATACTTGTGTAACTGGACATACCAATGGGATACTTGTGTAACTGGACATACCAATGGGATACTTGTGTAACTGGACATACCAATGGGATACTTGTGTAACTGGACATACCAATGGGATACTTGTGTAACTGGACATACCAATGGGATACTTGTGTAACTGGACATACCAATGGGATACTTGTGTAACTGGACATACCAATGGGATACTTGTGTAACTGGACATACCAATGGGATACTTGTGTAACTGGACATACCAATGGGATACTTGTGTAACTGGACATACCAATGGGATACTTGTGTAACTGGACATACCAATGGGATACTTGTGTAACTGGACAATGGGATACTTGTGTAACTGGACATACCAATGGGATACTTGTGTAACTGGACAATGGGATACTTGTGTAACTGGACATACCAATGGGATACTTGTGTTTATCGGTGTCAATGCCAGCATAGACCACGGGTCCGAACAGGTCATTCATGATGTTGCCCAGCCCCTCGGCTGTTATCATGCCATGGAGTGCCCCAACAAAGACAGTTTTGTTGGACTCCAGTCTCTGGTTGGGTTGGTACACAAAGTTGCTGTCAGACATCACCCAGGGGATCACCTGCACCTGGGGGGACACAAGGCTGTTTCATAAGTAGGCCAGGTGGGCCAGGCCAAGTGGGCCAGGCCAAGTGGGCCAGGCCAAGTGGGCCAGGCCAAGTGGGCCAGGCCAAGTGGGCCAGGCCAAGTGGGCCAGGCCAAGTGGGCCAGGCCAAGTGGGCCAGGCTAAACTGACAATAGTGGAAGACAAAATTTACTCCACATAAACTCATTACTTAAAAAATAACCATAAATAAAATAGGAAACATGAGAAAAATGTCTGATGGAACAGGATAACATTTCTAACATGATTACCTCTTTGGATCTCATTCTCCTGGAGGAGATCTTGTAGAAATAATCTCCATTACTGAAGTCATGTGTGCAAGCTTGCAGGAGTGACCGGACCGACTTCTCTGTGTCAAACAGGAGATAAACATATCCTGCAAATATAGACAAAAAACTGAATGCAGGGTCCAGACAGACTGCAGGGGTCTAATTTTAAACTGCTGGCAGCAATGAAGAAAACTTACCATCCTTTCCTGGCCATTCCACTTTGAGGTGGCCATATTTGTTAAAAGCTGCTTGCAGGCCAGCTGGAGAAGAATTTAAATATAGCAACATGTTTTGTAATAATCTAATCTACATGCATTTAAAGGCTGTACACAAACATGTTTTGTAATAATCTAATCTACATGCATTTAAAGGCTGTACACAAACATGTTTTGTAATAATCTAATCTACATGCATTTAAAGGCTGTACACAAATGTTTTGTAATAATCTAATCTACATGTATTTGAAGGCTGTACACAAATGTTTTGTAATAATCTAATCTACATGCATTTAAAGGCTGTACACAAAAAACTGCTAGTGATTGAATAAAGTTCCTACACTCAGTGATGTCCCATGGTACCCCACCAAGAAAAACCTTGCATGAGTACACAGGATTTTTGTGATTACGAGGGGGGAGATGACCACTCCAAGTACAGCTAGCTTCACTCACAGCTGAAAATAAAGTCATACACATTTAGACATAGCAAGATGATGGCACAATTAAAATGATAGTCACACATTTAGACAAAGTAAAATGTTAATGTCACAATTAAAAAGGTGAAGTAATACACATTTAGACATAGCAAGATGTTAACCCTTTGAACCCAGGCCTCCCTGGCCTAATTTCTCCCATTTCCTGAGCTCCCAGGGCCAAACCAAATTTTCACTTATCTGCTTCTAACTTTGTCTATAACTTTTTAACCGTTTGAGATGTGAGCGGCTGGAGTGTATTTTTATTATTTGTAACTTAGAAGGCGAATGTATCGTTTCGTTTCATGTAGTAAATTGTTCGTAGTTTTTAGTTGTGTAGTCCCGTATTATGGCGCCGCTGTCTCACTGTTGATATCCCTGTTTATAGCTAGTTTGTATATATTTCGTTTATATTGTTGTCATTGTTTATATTAAGTGTCTTTTTATATAATTCTGTTGCATGTTTCGTGGCGTTTGGTTTGTTATCTGTGAATTAGGGACTATTTGTTTACGTGTAGTGTGTGAGGTGTGTGGAAGTCGATTTCCGGCGGGTTCAACTCTGTCTTTTGGTGTGTGGAAAGCAGCGATGAAGAGAGCAGGAAGACTCTCTGGTCATCGATTGTAAAGAACAGCAAATTCACACCATCCAGCCGTATTTATTTTGTGTTTGTGTTCGTCATAGACCTGGACGGTGGTCCGAAATTGGGTGTTTTGTTTTGTCTGTTTTGTGTCAGTTTTTATCTATTCTTTTTCTGTGATTTTTCCATTGGTTCCTTAATTTTGATAAATAAATTTTGTTAACTGTTAAAGTTTTTGTTTTATTTTAGTATTTAATTTAGACTAAGGATTAGATATAACCACCGTGGGTTTCACCACGGTTGCACTGACCCGGACAGTTAGATAGATTTTAAGGTATCCCCCCCTAGCAGGGCTTACAGAGATAATCAAGCAATATTTGGTATCCAGGCTCAGGATCAAACAACAATTCTACAAGATGCTGAAATTTTTTTTTTACAATTTATGAACCTAAATATGTATATAAAATGAACTCAGTCGATGGCTGTGGCTCAGTTTTCGTTTCGGCGGCATTGCTTCAAAAAAAAAATGTGTATACCAAAAGTTTGCACTAATAAAATATTTATATACCGATAATTGTTTTATATACTTACTAAACATGACAAAACTAGAGTAACTTACCTATTTACTGTTATAATAATTATAACCGAATAATAAAATATAAAATAACAGATTTGTTTGTTGACAAAGTATTTTACAAAATGCAAACACTTTCACTTTCAACTTTCCCCACAATCTTATTTTTAGAATCATAAAGCCGCAATAAAGGCATATGCAGTTTTATTCAGTACGCTGCTAATTATATTTAGTAAGATGGTATACCAGCCGCTAGGACTATGATGCTAGATCATCGGGCAGTAAAACTGGCCTTTCTGACACATATGCCTAATGTTGAAGCCGGTTTTCTGGCTTGTCGGGCTCAAAGGGTTAATTTAATATCACAATTTAAAAATAAAGTCATACATATTTAGAAATAGTAAGATGTTAATGTCACAATTAAAATGTTTTAGCTCTGTGTTGAGGGCAGGTTCTACATCTAAAGCTGTTCTAACCACCACATGTCAAACAAGGATGTAAATTTTTTTTTTTAAATCTACCAGCTCAGACTGTGGGTAAATTTTTAAAATCCTTTAATTTAAAGTTACAACTTTCATATTTAACAAACTCAATATTCATTCTGTGTGGTCAATAATAAAGTTCATAAAAACTGGGGAGGGGGGAGGAAAGGGGGGGGGGGTAGGGATGAGTGAGTGTTAGGGTATTTAATCAAGTTAATCATAAACTTTAAAAATGCTGTTTAAATGCTACTGGTTTACTGCAGTATTTTAGTTGTAGGCCCATTTGAGAAAAATGATAGACAAGTATTTTTTTGTACATTAGTATTTAGTTCTAATTTAACTATGTGGTAATAAAAATTTTATTTCCTTTAAAATTTTTATCAATTTTTAATATATTTAGGCTTATAGGATTTGTACAAATGGATGAAAACCATTTATACATAAAAAATATCAATTTCATACTTTTTTCATTTTCCATGCCTTGAATATTTGAGAATTGCATTTAATAGCGTCTACAGTTAGTTATGATAATGAATGCATTGCTGGCCCTATTTAGATTGAGTGCACACAGACCAACCAAAGGTGTAAAATATCACCTGCACCTACCAACCAAAGGTGTAAAATATCACCAGCACCTACCAACCAAAGGTGTAAAATATCACCTGCACCTACCAACCAAAGGTGTAAAATATCACCTGCACCTACCAACCAAAGGTGTAAAATATCACCTGCACCTACCTGCAGCATTTCTGTGAAGACGAGCAGCTCTTTCTATGGCATACGGGTCCACATTGGAAAAGTAGGGCAGGTTAACACTGCCTCCACTGGTGGTGGGGGGGTTAGAATAGCTAATGACCGGCATTTGCCAGTTGGATCGGTCATTTATGGAGCGAGGTCTGTGGACATTGGTCAATAGATTAGTAAATATTTCAAGAAAATTGAAGTAGGATCATCACATTTACAAATCTTAAACTTTAAGAAATGTACTTGCCTACGTCCATTAGAAGATTGGCCATCAACTGAAGTTTTACCATAGTTGTCAGTCAATGAATTTATGTTCATATTTGACTGAAATTAAATTCAGATAAAGTGTTACATAATTGTCTAAGTCCTGTCAGTAGATTGTTCCACACCTTTCATACACCAAATTGTTCCACACCTTTCATACACCAAACTGTTCCACACTTTTCATACACCATTAAAATTTTGCTATGTTAAGACCAATAAATAATTCAACAAAGAAAGTTAACTGGATATCTAAATTGATTTTTTAAATTGCTTAAAAATATTTCCCATCTAAAAGCACAGAGACCATCAAAATGTTGCCCATCAAAATGTTGCCCATCAAAATGTTGCCCATCAAAATGTTGCCCATCAAAATGTTGCCCATCAAAATGTTGCCCATCAAAATGTTGCCCATCAAAATGTTGCCCATCAAAATGTTGCCCATCAAAATGTTGCCCATCAAAATGTTGCCCATCAAAATGTTGCCCATCAAAATGTTGGCCATCAAAATGTTGGCCATCAAAATGTTGGCCATCAAAATGTTGGCCATCAAAATGTTGGCCATCAAAATGTTGGCCATCAAAATGTTGGCCATCAAAATGTTGGCCATCAAAATGTTGGCCATCAAAATGTTGGCCATCAAAATGTTGGCCATCAAAATGTTTACCATCATCTCCAAGAGAGCATCCTCAGTTGAGGAGCCACCGTACACTTCCTGGGGAGAGCGGGGTGGAGTTGGTGGTGCTTGGATAGCTCTCATGCCCTGACTATGTTTTGTCAGCAGGTTCGAGTACAGCTTCTTCTCAATGGGTGACAGGGACGAGTCACTGTGTGGGCTGAGGGGCAGGACTGTGCTCTCGCTGTAACGGTTTTAATCAGGGGAAAATTATCTTAAATACACCATAATGTTCATCTACACTCCCCTATCACATGGCAATCTAATTCACAGAGAATACTTACGACTGGTGTTTTGAAATCACGTGACAAACTAATTCACCGAGAATACTTACGACTGGTGTTTTGAAATCACGTGACAAACTAATTCACCGAGAATACTTACGACTGGTGTTTTGAAATCACGTGACAAACTAATTCAACTAGAATACTTACGACTGGTGTTTTGAAAGTAAATTTTGATACAAAATTTTCTCAGTTGGTGAAAGTGTTACATCACTCAGAGGGCTGTACATGGCCAGGTACTCGCTGAAACAGTGTGGTAGGAGATATCATACAAGGCTTGTGGGGGTGGTCAGATTGGGCTTGAGGGAGGGGGGGGTCAGACAGGGCTTGTGAAGGGAGGTGGGTCAGACAGGGCTTGTGGGGGGCGGGGGTCATTAAAACTAGTTAATAAAATCTCACTTGGTTGCAGTTTGCCTTGGGGGTGTCGTCTGTATGCCCACTTCACTAGCTGTCTGAAAAGCTGATGAGCTGAAGGTATTTTCCCCAAACAACTGGAAGTTACCTGCAGGACAGATGGTGCAAGTTACCTGCGTGACCAATTTTGGAAGCTACCTATGAGACAAAATTCCTAATATGGAACAGTTTTTTACCATACGCAGATTGACTGGCAGGTGTGGACACACCTGAGACTGCAGGTGAGGAGGTAGGTGTGGGGCCAACACTGTATGAGGTGGTGTTGCAACAGGTGAAGGCGGCCGACTGGGAGAGCGGAACATTGGCGTAGCTGAGTACTGACTGGAGCTCAGGTGTTGGGTGTTGGCAGTAGGTGTGGCAGCCTGGATCTAAACAATATCAGCTGGGGTTAAAGGTCAGTTACAAACTTATGGCAACGTGGATCTAAACAATATCAGATGGGGTTAAAGGTCAGTTACAAACTTTCTAAGCAGCTTTTAAACTAGCAAATGACTTCACATATTTTGATAGGAAACAATTTAGCTTCTTTATATCAGATTCAGATTAAATGAAAAAAATACATCCTCTACAAGATGCATTAAAAATTCTTTTGTTAAATTGTTAAATTAATAGAAAAACAACTAATGGTTGGTACACTAAATAGGTCAACTGTAGCTAAAAATAGCAACTTTATCTAGGCCACCCTTTAAAACTTTAACATTTGAACAAACCTTTTACAGCCTGCTGAAATTGTTGAAATTGTTGCTGCTGCTGCTGTTGTTGCTGTTGGTTGGTTGAGTTGAGGTTGTTGACGTCAAGAGAGTTGTCCAGGAGGGCATTGATTCGTCTAAATATTTCCAAATTACTGGGCAGTATGTTTTGGCTTTGGTCATTTTCAAAAGTTTCATTTTTTATTGAGACTTGGTCAGTACCCTGTGAGTTGGACCAAGATATGTGGATGAAAAAATCTAATGACCAGGTCTAATCAAGTAGACTTGATTGATTAAGCTGGCAACTTGTATTTTTCAAATAATGTTAAAGCCCAAACAGAAGTATTTGGCAATATAATTAGTCAAATTATTTTTTTTTTAAAAACCAACAGACTAAGGTAAGCCATATATTTTTTTTATTCAAATAGAAGTTTGGCCAACAACACTGAACTAACTAAATACAAAAGCTGTTGATGTATTTTTACATTTGAAGTAGCAGTTTTTGAAGGCAACATCAATAAAAGAGTATACCTACAAAATGTTATGGTTTTAAATAAAGTTGTTGGCGTTTATAAAAATAAACTGAGCAATTAAAATTTGGGGAGAATTTTTATACGTGTCCGATAATAGAATCTTAAAACAAATGGGTGTTAGGTTACATGGCTGGCTAATGTCAATGCTAACCCTGTCCCTAACCCCAACCATACGCCTAACCCTAATTTCAAAACTTAACATAAATTGGTCGAGATTACAATACTACTAACAAACCAACACCTATTTTAAGGAAGAGTCTATTATCAGACATCCGTATCTAAAATCATCCCACATTTTTTATTATGTTTACAAAAATGTAGAGGACCATTTTTACTGCCACTTCCATATTGTCACTTCTGCAATGAGAATCTTGTCTGCAACATAGCAAAGGGAAGCAACTCATCCAAAACAACTTAAACACTTAGTTTGGGGTTATCTAACTCTAAAGTCTAAAACCTTAAAATTCGAGTTAACCTTTACTTACAGCAGAAGACATCTTAAGACTAAAAACTTTTATATTGACCAAGTTTTTAATACACCAGGGATTTTAACTGGACGGTACAGTGATGAAAGAATTTCGGACGGAATTATCCGCTCCTGGACTAGCACCTACACTGGCTCGCGGTCTATGGTCGGGCTGGACCCGGAGTTAGTAGCACACGAGACATGTCGAGTAAATAAATGGGACCTGTTGAAAACTGCTCACTATGTAAACAGGGTCAGGTGTGTATCTTACCTTTACCCGATTCACGTGAGTGACAGTTCACGTCATGCTTGTCGTCTGCTGAAAGATACTTTGTACTGATCTCCCTTGGGATGACTGGACTGTCCAATGACCGGGGCGTGTCGTAAAGTTTTGTCCCCATTATTTTGAACACACGTAAAAGAAATCTGTCTAAAAATAGCTAGTCACTCAACACACTCTAGTCGGTGTGCTGGTAACTAAAAATTATCGCATTTCGCGGATGGCAATAAATCCATACAGTAGCTTTTTATAGCAATTAATTATAAACAGAAAGCTTTTCTGTATCTGGTATTTGATTATCACCGGATGACCTACACACTTTTGTCTAAAATAACCAGCCCTCGCGAGACTCTCGTCCTTTAGACAACTTAGATCTAGATCTAGTCTAGATCGACGTTTTTGCTTTTGAGTTGCCAAGATCGGTTTCTTTCAGACATCTCTTCGGAAGAGGGGAGGGGGTATACTCAGGCTCAGATACTGCGCTCCCCTCCCCCTACTGGAGCACATCCCTAATTGTAATTAAATATCGAAAGTATATTGATCTACTTGATCCGTTTGCTTTGTCTAAATTGTAATTTTGTCACTTTCTAGTGTATGCTAGCACACTGGCGTAGCAAGCAGTGTTTCTTCCAGACATTTTTTTTTCCTCGGGGGGGGGGGGGGGGGGGGGGTGCGGACACTGGTGGTAAAAGTATATGTTTTCTATATAAATTCCATTTCGTTGGATGAAATAGATGCCTTTAGTAACAGTATTTTGGTGTTCCATAAATCTTTAGTAACAATATTTTGGTGTTCCATAAATCTTTAGTAACAATATTTTGGTGTTCCATAAATCTTTAGTAACAATATGTTGGTGTTCCATAAATCTTTAGTAACAATATTTTGGTGTTCCATAAATCTTTAGTAACAATATTTTGGTGGCATGAGTAGTCAGACACAGGACATGCATGGCTGTCCTAGAGGACAAAACCTGGCTGTCCTAGAGGACAAAACCTGGCTGTCCTAGAGGACAAAACCTGGCTGTCCTAGAGGACAAAACCTGGCTAATCTTCCTGTTTGAACTTGATATGATGTTATCCAAACGCAAGTCCAGCATTTAGTTACAGAACAATGAATAGCCTGTAAACAACGCAAGGGAAATAATCCAGTATAAATGAATTTTGAAATGTTTCATTAGTTACTTCCCATGTTTATATTATTTAAACCTATTCAATCCTTTCAATGTTTAGACGTCCCTGTTATTTTTAGTTTTGCCGATAATTGTTTAGTTCAAATATATTTGTCTTTGAAAATCAATTGCACCCTATTTTTATGAATAGTTTAGAATTGCTGAATATTTTTATCTTCCAATTGTATTACGTGATCGTAATTTGTGTCTCCTGTATCAACAATATTAGGTAGAGTTTAGTGTAGAAAAGTATCAACAATATTAGGTAGAGTTTGGTGTAGAAAAGTATCAACAATATCAGGTAGAGTTTAGTATCGAAAAGTATCAACAATATTAGGTAGAGTTTAGTATCGAAAAGTATCAACAATATTAGGTAGAGTTTAGTATCGAAAAGTATCAACAATATCAGGTAGAGTTTAGTATCGAAAAGTATCAACAATATTAGGTAAAGTTTAGTGTAGAAAAGTATCAACAATATTAGGTAAAGTTTAGTGTAGAAAAGTATCAACAATATCAGGTAGAGTTTAGTATCGAAAAGTATCAACAATATTAGGTAGAGTTTAGTATCGAAAAGTATCAACAATATGTAGAGTTTAGTATAGAAATGCTCTCCAAGTTCAAGAATATTTTGCTTTTAGCTGTGATTTTAAACAAAATTTTACAATGTGTGTACCTTAAAATATTTTATATTATTAAAAAGCGATCATATTGTGTGTTGGTGTGTTCTTCAACTCAATATCTGGGGGGGGGGGGGAGGTAGAGAGAATCGAGATGTTTATTACTGTTGTAACATTGTGCTATTATATTAATGGTCTGTGGTTGTGTGCACATGTATTTCCACTTTGCAGTCAGCTTGGAAATAAACCGTTATTAGAACCCTTTGAAAAGAATATTTGTCAACAAAAAAAAATAAATAAATAAATAAATAAACTGGGAGTGATCTCCCCTAAACTTTCTCGAATATTCTTATATAAAATAACAGGGGATGGGAACTCGGGCTATAGACATGATTTTTAATCCATTTTAAATACTTAAAGTTTTAAAAATAGAATAAAATCTCGTAGACAAATTAATTGCACACCAAGTGAACGCCAAATAAAAAAGCGCATAATAGTGCGCAGTATTATTATTACTTTTAAAATTTACATTAGTTTTTTGAGAAATCGGAAGTAGCGTAAAGTACTACTTCCAGTCAACGGAAATGACTCAAAATTTAATAGAAGGTAGAGAATTAGATCTTATACTTACATATGAAATTTCATTTATCTATCTGAAATAGTACTCAAGTTATAGGCTTTTGAAAAATTCAAAGTAGGAAAAGTACCACTTCCGGTTATCGGAAATCGCTCAAAAGTTGATACGGATCTACGATTTTGATTAAATACTTATATATGAAATTTCATCAACCTAGCTGTAACGGTACTCAAGTTATCGTGTTTACACACGGACAGACAGACAGACACACAGACAGACACACAGACATACGGACAAGATTGCAAAATTATGTTTTTCCGTATCAGTGAGGTGTGAAACGTCGAGATTTGTAAAAATCTCGATTTTTTTTTTTTGCACGATTACAATACTTTCTCTATACTTCGTATATACGAGAAAGTAAAAATGACATCGACCATTATAATAAACCGGGAGTGATCTCCCCTAAACTTTCTCGAATATTCTTATAAAAAACAACAGGGGATGGGAACTCGGGCTATAGACATGATTTTTAATCAATTTTAAATACTTAAAGTTTTAAAAATAGAATAAAATCTCGTAGACAAATGAATTGCACACCAAGTGAACGCTAAATAAAAGAGTGTTTAATAGTGCGCAATATTATTAGTACTTTAAAAATTTACATTAGTTTTTTGAGAAATCGGAAGTAGCGTAAATTACTACTTCCGGTCAATGGAAATTACTCAAAATTTAACAGAAGGTAGAGAATTAGATCTTTAACTAATGTGCGAAATTTCATTTATCTATGTGAAATAATACTCAAGTTATAGGCTTTTTAAAAATTCAAAGTAGAAAAAGTACCACTTCCGGTTCTCGGAAATCGCTCAAAAGTTGATACGGATCTACGATTTTGATAAACTACTTATATATGAAATTTCATCAACCTAGCTGTAACGGTACTCAAGTAATCGTGTTTACACACGGACAGACACACAGACACACACACACACAGACATACGGACAGAGTTGCAAAGCCCAGTTTTTCAGACTGGATTACACACAAAACCTCTTAATTTTGATACATCTGGATTGATAATTTTTGCCCGATTAAAATAAGTCCCCTATACTTCGGATGTGATGAAGGACTGAGGTGTAATACGGTGAAAATTGTTAAAATTTCAAGTGATTTTTGTGCACGATTACAATACTTTCTCTATACTTCGTATATACGAGAAAGTAAAAATGACATCGACCATTATAAAGCGGTTATCGCTCACCTATTGTCACCAGTTGTACATAATAATGTAAATGTTATAGCTGTAAACAACGAGTGCTAAGATACTAAGGGTAAGAATGCACGACTAGCAACAACATAGCACCGTTAGCCTATATAACTGTATAGAAATAAATGTGAGTAGTTTAGCCATATCCTGATAATTATAGCACCAGCTATCTATAAATACATATTTGTAACATTACTTCGACTGAAGTCTTGTAAATAAATGTTCATACTAAATGCACTACTGGTTCTAGAGACTAATAATTATTTAGACAATTTTTTTTCTGTATGGAACCCGAGCATTGTTCCAGCCACCATTGGATCGCATATAAATAAATCACAGACACAAACACTTTTTACCTGTTAATTTAGAGCTATGGTTATTCTGTATTTTAATATAGCCTTATCTACTGTGGGTATCATAATTTTTTTAAAATTAAAAAAAAAAAGAAGCATTTTCGACAAGATTGTGAACCCCTGCACTCTTCTGATCAAACGTGTTTCAAACGTTCTTGTTATAGTCATACATGTTACTTAAATTCAAAGAAACGTTGGAACCTACATTTTGACATAACTATCATTTAAGCTGTTTTATTGGAAAAAAATTTTGCGATTTTTTTTAAAATGGCAATTTGTGTTTTTTACTCCTCTTTTTTAATTGTACCAAAAAGTGAAAAAGCCAATTTTAATGCATTCAATTAAAATGATGTAATTTTTTAAAAGTTTAAAAACAAACAAAAAATTTGGTATGGGCTATCTTAGAATCCTGAGTTGTTGACATAGCAACTTTCATAACAACTCCGATACCGTTCTAAAAAGTCAAACATGACGCACTTCCTGTTAGGCTAGTTTACGGATATCCAGTCAATCGGAGTTTATTCATCAACACACTCATACTACAGTCTCTACAATAGACAACAAATTGTTGGAGTTTATTCATCAACACACTAGTTCTACAGTCTCTACCCACAAATTGTTGGAGTTTATTCATCAACACACTAGTTCTACAGTCTCTACCCAATACATTGTTCGTTTTTTGTTCGTTACGTTAGCCTATAACCCGCCTATAAAATGTAAGTTAAAATGTTAGCCGAAAGCTAAGCCTTTGTAAGCCTGTCCATGGGGCTTGAAGGCTTAGGGCGAGTTTTTGGCTGTTTACCAGTGTAGATTTAACCAACCCATTTTCCTGGCTCGCAGTTTTCCATTGTCCTGGTTCGCAGTTTTCCATTGTACTGGTTCGCAGTTTTCCATTGTCCTAGTTCGCAGTTTTCCATTGTCCTGGTTCGCAGTT